GAGGAGCATGAAAAGAGCATTACACTTTTTTCTTGAGGTGCTCAAAAGGCAACAATGTCAGTTGTTAGCTCACAGAGCACAAGTGAAAAAGAGATGGCAAGCGTATCGCGAACAGAGATGGGCAGTAACACGTTACAAGTAACGCATTACTGTAATCTGATTACTTTTTTCAAGTAACGAGTAAAGTAAGGGATTACTATTGCAAAAACTGTAATTAGATTACCGTTACTTTCCCGTAGGAACGCTGCGTTACTGCGTTACTAAAACCGTGATTTTTTTTGCGAGAATGTCTCATGACAGTGACGTAAGCGAGTGCGACGTTCGTGACAACAGCTGTGTGCAGATCAACAATGGATCATATATCGAGTGCGGGAGAGAGTATGAGCGTGCAGCGTTTAAAGCGTGGAAGTACTGACCTTACTTTGAGTTTGATTCCATAAAAAGTGACAAAAACATTAGTGTCCGTTGTGCGTGGGAAGAAAACTTCTTTTTACAGCGAAAAAAACCCCTAAACAAGCACCGAGTGCGCAACGACGTAATGGGAAATTCACAGAGAAACTCGCGGATTCTTCCACTGACCGCTGCGGCACACCTGCACCAGGGTAAACCTCCGCCTACCCAGTCCTGCTTTACAGGTGAAAATAGAGCAACAGGACCGCTAGTCTTTGATTTTATTTATTTTCTGCTGTGTTTTACTTGCATCTATTTGAAAGACTGAGTGTAAACACAAAAAATATTTTATGTGCTGGAATGTGCAGAAAATAGGTTTAAATGTTAAACTAATTTCTTCAAGTCAGAGAATGTTGCATATAATTAAATTTTTGCTTGATGCATAAAGTTAAAAGATTAAAACTGATAAAACAAGTTTTAAAAAAGAGACTTTTCCATTTGATTACATTTTGTATGATGGATTATGTAGAAAAAGTAGAATTGGGCTGAAAGATCTATCGCTTTATCACCTCTTCAGGTTGTAAATCGTGTTTTTAAAAAGTAACTAAGTAACTAAGTAATTAATTACTTTTGAAAATAAGTAATCAGTAAAGTAACGGGATTACTTTTTTGGGGGAAGTAATCAGTAATTAGTTACTGATTACTTTTTTCAAGTAACTTGACCAACACTGATAGTGAATGTGGTCAAAGTACTTGGGTAGAGGCGACTCAGCTATGAGCATGTGGAGAATGAGGCTGCATACACTAGGTGGATCCCCTTCTCGGGCGCTGATAATTGCCGTCTGTCAGTTGTGACATGGCCATTCAAACAGCAGTCGCTTTCTAAAACATCAGATGTGTATCGGATTCAGTACCACATACGAAAGATTTGAAAATATCGGATTTGTGCCGTTCACACTGTCATATCATGATCGGATATGGGTCGCATAGGGTCCAAAAACTCAGATTTCATGCGCTTTCGCCTGCAGTGTGAACGTAGCCTAAGATCACCCAAATGCACCACTAAATTACACATGAAATCATTCCTGCCTGTGGCTATCAATGCTAACTCTAACCCTGTACAACTCCTCCACCTAATGCACAGTGCAGTAGTTACACCCTGTTGCATATGCTCTACAGGGAAAATAACAAATAACAAGCTTATAGTTTAGAGTAAAATGTCAATCATATATTCACCTCTGTAATATTCTTGATATTAATAATTTAGCTATTTATATATATTTGAGCTATTTGTTATATTTTGTAAACTTTGTAATATATTGGTATCATTTATTTTAGTTCAGTCTTTTCCTGATATTGTCTTGGAGCAACTGTAACCACATAATTTCCTTGGTGATTAATAAAATATTCCGATTCTGATTACTTGTCCTGATGGAAAACCACTGCCATGTCCTCAAACCAGAGATGCCAGTGTGAAACTAGTCAAGGTTAGGATTGTGAGTACAAAGCCAAAGGTCCCCGAGAATTAGAGGTGTGAGCAGGGCTTAGTTTTTAACACTTCTTGGCCCACCCTAAAGCTCTTCTTTGTAGTAATTCCACCAGGTAGGCCATTCTTATGCTGTCAGAAATACAACTGTGCTGTTGAAACACTGGAAATCCACTACTAGTCTCTATTAGGACTTGGCTATATGACCCAAAAAATCATATCTTGATATTCTTTAACTGGATGGCAACATACGATATATATAACTCGATATTTTTTTAAAGCCATAAAGTAAGAATAAAAAGAGGGTTCTTAGTCAAAGCTGTGTCTATAAGATGTTAAACTGTGTGTCTTTTTCATAACAGTGACATGGTTGAATTTACCTTAATTGAACGAGTCGTCAGTCTTTTTGCACAATGGGAGGAGGTGCTGTCGCGTCGTCCATGTTTTCTACAGTCATTGGTAAAGACAAACGAGGCCCTGGTTGATGTGACTTCCTTGTTACGTGATTTGAATTGTTGAAAAGATGCAGGAAATACAGGAAATGTTTCGCATGATCTGGATCAGAGTTTAATGTAAATTAATAAAACACACCCTTCCAACTTGCCAAATGTCAGTTATGTCCAAGTCAGACAAGGACTTCTTGTAATTTTTGTGGACATATATAAATCAATATGTATTTATTTAAGTGTGTGTGTGTGTGTGTGTGTGTGTGTGTGTGTGTGTGTGTGTGTGTGTATTTCAATTGTCTAAGTATATATCAAATCAAATCACTTTTATTGTATCACATGTGTTCCAGTAGTGAAGCTGAGGTGTCTATGACGTGTTCAGCAGTCTGATGGCCTGGTGGAAGAAGCTGTCTCTCAGTCTGTAGATGTCTTGGAGGGAGGGAAGCTCACCTCCAATTATCCGTTCAGAGCACCGCACTACTCGCTGGAGAGCTTTGCGTTGTAGGCGGTGCTGTTGCCATACCAGGTGGTGATGCATCCAGTGAGGATGCTCTCAATGGCACAGTGATAGAAGGTCCTGAGGATGCGGGGGCTCATGCCGAATCTTTTCAGTCTCCTGAGAAAGAAGAGGCGCTGCTGCGCCTTCTTCACTGTTTTGTTTGTGTGTACTGACCACGTAAGATCCTCAGCCAGATGTACACCAAGGAACCGGAAGCTGCTCACTCTCTCCACAGCAGCGCCGTTGATGGTGATGGGGGTGTGTACTTCTCTGCACCTCCGGAAGTCCACTATCAACTCCTTTGTCTTTGCGACGTTGAGGGTGAGATGGTTGTCTTGACACCAGTGGGTCAGGGCGCTGACCTCCTCCCTGTAAGCCGTCTCATCACCATTGGTGATAAGACCCACCACTGTAGTGTCGTCCGCAAACTTCACAATGATGTTGGAGTTGTTAGTGGCTGTGCAGTCGTAGGTGTAGAGTGAGTACAGGAGAGGGCTCAGTACACACCCCTGTGGAGCACCAGTGTTCAGTGTGATGGGGGATGAGGTGATGCTGCCCAGTCTGACCACTTGGCGTCTGTCAGACAGGAAGCTAAGGATCCAGCTGCAGAGGGAGCTGCTCAGTCCTAGATCCTGCAGTTTCCTGTCCAGCTTCGAGGGAACGATGGTATTGAATGCTGAGCTGTAATCTACAAACAGCATTCTCACATACGTGTCTCTCTTCTCCAGGTGTGACAGGGCAGTTGTAGTGTCAGGGCTATGGCATCATCAGTGGACCTGTTGTGGCGGTATGCGAACTGTAGAGGGTCCAGTGAGTCGGGTAGTGCAGAGCAGATGAAGTCCCTGACCAGCTTCTCGAAGCATTTGCTTACGATGGGGGTCAGGGCTACAGGTCGCCAGTCGTTCAATGAGGAGATGGTGGAGGATTTGGGTACAGGGACGATGGTGGCCATTTTGAAGCAGGCTGGGACTACAGACAGAGAGAGGGAAAGGTTGAAGATGTGCGTGAACACTCCAGCCAGCTGAGCCGCGCATGACTTGAGGACGCGGCCGGGAATCCCGTCCGGACCAGTAGCTTTGCGTGCGTTCACCTTCCTGAAGCACCTCCGCACATCCTCCTCAGACACAGTGTGCGCACTGACGTCATCCGCGGTGCGCACACTGTCCGGTCTCATGGTGTTCGCTGTGTCGAATCTAGCGTAGAATACGTTTAGATCCTCACACAGAGAGGCCGTGGTCTGCGGTGTGCTGGTTTTCCCTCTAAAGTCTGTGATCGTGTTTAGTCCCTGCCACATACTCCGAGGGTTGTCAAACTGTTGCTCCACCCTGTCCCTGTATATATCTTTCCAAATGTGCTATTGGTATTAAATTCTCACCAGATGTAAAAAAAAAAACCCATACATCCACACAAAAAACCCCCCCAAACAAAACCATAGATATCTGTAAAAATGTGTAATAGTAGGAAATGACAGAAAAAGTATTGAACACATTAAAGGGAAATCAACATAAACCAGACGTAACCAGAGGGAAAACTGTTCCGGTTGATGGAAAACACTGGCGTCACAAGAACAGTTTTTTTACGAGAATGGGAGCAAACACTTGCTCAGGTGAGGAATTGCTACTCTTAATCCACTGCTGTGAGACCTGCCTTCCTGAACAGACAGAAAGAAGGATGGCTGCGGACAGGAGCTGGCTGGCAGTGGTGAGGATGGAAGCTGGTGAAAGATACCCTTAACTGTACTGGTAATATGTCCATATACAGGACAGGAATGGGCGAGGTTGCAAATTTTCTGAGTTAAAGGAAACTAACAAACCTAAAATCAATCATACAGAACAATACAGAAATAGAACAATATGGGAATCAGGAAAAATCATAACCACAAGGAAAACGAATTATATTTATAGAAACTACAAGCATAAATGACTTCTCAAAACTCAAAACAGTGAAGACTTAAAAGACTTCTCTGATGTTGTGCAGCCAGATGCAACCAAGTGAAAGGAGGAGCTGTTCAACTTTGTCTATGGTGACATCCTGAATAACATCCAGAAGTCTCTCTAACAAAAGTAATCTAATCTCCAACAGGTCAATCCATCACACCGAAGAAACAATCCTGTATTTTTGTAGAGCTTTTTTGCTAATGAAAGATGGAGATAATGTTTCTAAATCTTTTCTCTTTCAGGATCATTGCTTTTACCATGGCCATGTAAGAAAACATCCAGATTCCTGGGTTGCACTCCGCACATGCTCAGGATTCAGGTACTGTCCCTACCTCATGATTAATTGTTGTTACACTGTATCAAGTGTTATTAGGTGAACATAAACAAACATTAATTTATCTTTTTTTCACTTGTCTGGTGCCACGTCACTGGTGTTATATATATGTGTTATACAAGCTATCGCCAGTAGTGGTCACCATGTAATGTGTGTGTATCTTCCTGAGGTATAATGAATAAAAAGAAGAAGGCTGAATGTAAACAGCTAACGTGTTTATCTGTCTGGCTCTGTATAACTCCTGCTTAGTTAATGACACAAACAGGGGAAAACATAACAGTGGGGATAACCTCCACCTTTAGGCGTGCTGGCATACTATCCGCCACCTGATCCAACTCACCACCTGGTTGGGATCAGCTGACAGTTCAGCTCTTTTCTTAATCTGTGTCCAGAATTTATGGGTATAGATCCGATGATACAATTACAAAAGCAATCGTGTATTCCACAAATAGGAATGCACATTGTATTGCCTATTGCTGCACCTGTAAGAGACAGAAAAAGCAAAACAGAACAAATGTACAGCACACAAAAAAATACAGAGATACATAAATCTACAATATTCCTATAGTGTGTGTGTGTGTGTGTGTGTGTGTGTGTGTGTGTGTGTGTGTGTGTGTGTGTGTGTGT